CTGGGCTAGTCTTCCTTCTGTTCTGAATTGCAGGCAGCAAAAATTCAACCCCCCATAAGACAGTCTTAACGAACAGTAGTACTCACTCTCATGCATGTCCCTGTCCACTGGAGTTTCCGGGGCTACAATAGGAATCTTTTCAGAGGTGTTCTCTGTTTATGCAAACATATATTTATTATATGAAAATACTTCTAAAATAATTTTTACTCAGTGGGAAATTATCGTGGTGCCTGACAGTGCCAGGCCACCAGGCTAGTGCCTGGAACCCCTTAGCCTATTTCCAATCTCCGCTTTCTCCCTGCCTACTTTCCTCAGTCCTATGAATTGAAACACTATCTGTCTGCTGATAACGCTCACAGCTGAACCTCTGGCCCTAACTGCTGTATCCTCCTACACTTGCCGTTGAACTCTGATAGGCATCTCAGAATTAACTAGTCCCAAACCAAACTTTAGTTCCTCCAGCCTAGTCTCTATTTTTAGTTCCCCTATCAAAAAATGAGTCCCCCCACCCACCAAGTTGCTGCAACAAAAATCTAAGAAGCATCCTTGATTCTCCCCTTTTTCTCACCTTCACGTCTAGTTCACCAGCAAATCATTTCTCTCCTTCCACAATGCACCTTCCATTCATTCATCTCTGCCCATCTGTAATGATCACCCTTACCCAAGCTGCTGCTGTCCCTCCTATAGACGACTGCAAACACTTTCTATTATTTCCTTCCACTGCTCTCTGGCCCATGCCACAAACAAATACCCTATCCTTCTTGAAGCAGCCAGAGTTCCATTTAAAAATACAACAAAATCACATCACTCCTCTGCATAAGTTCTAAAATCTAGGGACCATTATCTTGAGAGGAAAACTTGCCTTCCTTCTGACAATTCTTCATCAGTTCAAGCTCAAAGCCACTGTGGGGCTGTTTCAAGTGCCATTGCCTTTGAAATGCTGTTTGCTTTCACTCTGGAGAAGCTGCTCCCTGTCACTCAGATCGCAGTTGAATTGTTCCCTCCTACAGAAGCCTGGACTGGCCACCCCAAATTGTAATTTGCTCCCCTCTCTCAAAATGGGACTCTTCCACATTTAGCAGACCACTCACCATCTGACATATTTTGTTTAACAAACAATTCATTTGTTTTCTAGCTTACGAAGCAAAACTCTAAGCTGTGAGTCTCTAACCACGAGGGCTGAAGCTTCAATATTTGGTTATTGTTCTAACTGCTTTGCTGTTTAGATCAGTGTCAGATAGATGGAAGGTCTCCAATACATAGTTAAGTACAGGGAGTGATGAATGAATATGAAACAGTCAAGTTGGATGCTGATGGCTGACCAAACCAAGGTCTCTTCCAAGGGGCAAGGCTGTGTAAAAGTGATACCAACAAGTAAATGCCTGTTAATTTTATCAATTTTGCTATCTTTTCCCTTATGTTGCCCTGTTTATTTCTCTTACCTTAGTACTCCTTACTATTATCTCCCCTCACTCAAAATGGGAGCTCTGTTAGGGAAGCGATTTTATCTCTTTCTTCACCACTGCAGATACAAGCTTGAATAGCAATTTGAACAAAGACACTTGTAAACTTTTGTTGAATGAGTGAAAATCTAAGGTGTAGTTGAAAATGATTGATTCAGGTCCTCTCAATTTGCAGTAAGAAAGCAAAAGCACTCTTCAGTGGCAAAAAGGGGCCAATTATTTCAAAGTATTTTTTTTTTTTTTTTTTTTTTTTTTGCATGTGTTGGCCAGGGCTGGGTTTGAACCTGCCACCTCTGGCATAGGGGGCTGGCACCCTACTCTTTGAGCCACAAGGTGCTGCCCCTTCCCAGTAAGTCTTTTGAATCATGTGTGTTCCTGTAACTGGAATTCCCTTAGGCCAGAGGGAAGCCATTGCCAGCACTGTGCCTTAATGTTTAATTCCTGAAAAATGGGAATTAAAGGAAATAGACCAATTAAAATTATCTTATCTTTTTAGAGCACACCCAACTTGAGAGTTCAGTAATTACCACCCACTGATTATCACTTAGGGATAAACGAACACCAATAAGAATGACAGAAGGGGGAAAAAAAAAAAAAACCAGAGGGGCCGTCATTGTGCTGCTCAGGATAAGACTGCCCTTGTTTTGTAGAATTTGTTCATAAAAGCTCTGAAGTCTGGGGACATGCTGCTGGGTAGGAGAGTAAAGTTTTGAAGCTTAGAGGTCTAAGGAGACATTAATAAAATGCAGTGGGGAAATTAAGTTGAGCCAGAGTGCAATGAGGCGTGGTTAAACCAATTAATTAAACAGGTTTTCGTATGTCTATAACCAGGTTGCTCAAGAATTAAAAGCAAATCCAAGATTTAAATGAGTATTTGGTATTTAACAAAACACCAAACAGTGATTTGCAGAAAAGTCACATGTTTTAAAGCAGTATTCTTTGGTGAATTCCTTCTTTGTTAATCTTAAAGAAACTAGACTTTCCCTAATATGCAAGAAGTCTTAGGCTTTGTTTGATTCTTCTTACGCCAATTTCAAAACCACAGAACTTTCTTGCAACATCAAGGGTAACCAGGTTTGTTTTTCAGGGGCCTGTCCACAATTTTCTGTGAAGTAATGAACATGAACTTGCTTCCTGCACTGGCAGCCTGGCAGATGTGAGGCAGAACAGGTGAGATTATCCAATGTAAAAGCCAGAAGTCCCAAAGATTAGAGGCCTCGTTCCAAATTTATCACTTAAGAGACCCTGCACAAATAACTGAGCTCCTATAAACTTCAGTCCCCCAACCCTTTCATAAAATGGAAATGTGAACACTGAAAGTGGATTCCAACTTGTGCATGCATTTTGATGGCCAAAATTGTTTGGAACTTTAAACATACATTTCCCTTAAAACTATATATATTAAGAAAATGAAATGGTTAGTGGTAGGTAGGTTTCTAGATGAGGTGCCAAAACCTTCATTGACCATAATATTTCGTTCATAAATTATCCTAATTGTATGCTGGTTAAAGTTTGCAACTGGCCCTGACTTTCCTGGTTAGGCACTGAAAGTCCCTCCTATTGGGGAACCCTTCAGTCCCAGCCAAAACTAATTACTTTTCCTTAATTAGGAAGCTAATCATTATTCATGTGTTCATTCATTTTTCTGCAATACCAGGTACATTCTTGGGCTCTGGAGATGTAAGAACAAATTGGATATGGCCCCTGCCTTTAATAAACTTAGAGCCTCACAAAGGAGGCAGAACAAGCTTCCACAAGCCCTGTGCTAAATGATAATAGTGGAGGTTTGGCCAGGCTGCTGGGGAACACACGAGGTGGACGCCTCACAGGGCTCAGACAAGGTGGCCACTGAACTGCAGCTTAGAACAGGTCCACAGCTCAAACCAGTGCCTTCTACCTAATTATTCTGAACATTTCCATTTCTGAGCTCCATACTGCTTAAATATCCATATTAAAATGCCATCTCTTTCAATTCCCTGATATGCTGTTATTTAAACAGATTTTGCATAACTCCTGATATGCATATAATCTTTATGGAATTGCAGCAAAATATAAATATAAATAACCATAAACCCTTGATTTGATAGCAGTTCCTCCCACTCTGGGATGCAGAACTAAAATCTACTTTTAAAAATGCAAACTGCCTGCTGGCGTTTTCTATTCTTCAGGATCCATTTTACAAAAGAAATGGCTGGAAAGGTATGTTAAATTGAAAACAAAAGGAAAGTCACTGTAAATAATGTCATCCTAGCCACAATAGGGTGGTGGTTACCCCAAAGCTAGCAATGTTAAAAATGCTTCCTAAAGCTTCTTACCAAAAGTTGGCATTCTGTTTTTTATTCAATAACTTTTCTTTTCTTTTTTTTTTTTTTTGCAGTTTTTGGCCGAGTTTGAAGCCACCACCTCCAGTATATGGGGCCAGCACCCCACTCCTTTGAGCCACAGGCCTTGCCCTCAATAAATTTTAAAGTAGTCCTGGAACAGGCCTTTATCATCATTATGGCAAAGGCTGCAGTGAGATGATGTTAAGACGTGGACTGTTTATACCACCACAAGCTCTGTGCATCCCTCACTCACTTAACATGGATATTTGGTTTCCCACCTGGAGAAAGAAGGTGACTTATTCCCAGACAGATTGTAAGCACCATGGTGGGAAGGGGCCATGTGTGTTGTTCACTGCGTGTACCCAGCCCTTGGGACACAACGGATGTAAAAAAATGGCTGAATAAATAACAAAATAAATTTGTTTGCATTTCCAAGAAATGATTATTCAGTCTCTGAAAGATTCTAGGAACTGGGCAATTCAGAAGCAGGGAGGTAGCTGAGGGATCAAAAATTACCTGTCTGGTATAATGTATGCTATTTGGATGGCTGGTAAACTCAAATCCCTTATCTACTACTGGACAATTTAGGTAGGTATCATAAAATCACTTGAACCCCCTAAATCTACAGAAACTTAAAAAAAATGAAAAGAAACCGAACAATCCTCTTTGCTACTCATAAGACACCACAAATTGTGCAGCTTAAGTTTTGGAGTCAGTTACAACATGGAACCCAAACCACGTGACTGATGCCTGTCAGCCTCAGATTAACTTTCTAATCTTGACTAATGACCTTGAAGATATTGTATGGGAATTTACAAAGAATGTGCATGTGATTATTAAGCCATCCTTGCTATGAAAACAACGTCTCATACCATGCTTTTCTGTGGAATACAGACCCACATCATCAATTCACAGAATCATCTACTACAATAACTGTGTATCTTAAATCCCATAGATAACTATAAATATAAGTCAGATAATGATCTCAATTGAGTGCAAAGCTTCTTAGTAATTTTGAGCACTCAGACAAAGGAAAATACTAAAATCCTCCCTTCTGTGTATTTTCGTTTTGCATTTTGGTCAGGGTATATGCACATTTTACACCCATAACACTTGTTAATGCATAATAATCAGTGACTATACATTTAAAATTCAATGGGAACGTAGAAGCAACAAGTCTCCTTAAAATTTCTTTTTCCCATTATGTGTTTACCTTTGAAGTTTACTACACCAGCTGCAGTTGAAGCCAATCTGGGAGGATACGCAGGGGCCACAGCCATTGAACTGCAGACATGCTGCAAAGCAGAAGAGATTGATCAAGAGTAACAGACAGCTTGGGAGAAAAGAAAAACAAAAGATTGCTTACCCAAAATAAAAATCACCATCTGTCCCCATGTAGGCTCGAAATGCCCTTGTGTGGCAAACACAATTATAATGATAATTATATAATTAACACAATTATTGTAATTGAACAGATTAGATCATCAAATTTGCAGATCATTTTTCCCATCTACATTCACACAGTAACTTACTAGGCAAGGGGGTCATCTCCACAGCCGAAATGTTGGTAATTTTGGACATTTGCAGCTCTACTCGGTGGTATTCATAAATTGTTCTTCTTCGAACATCTGTAAAAACAAAAATTTAAAAAAAAATCAACTTTATTCTTTCCCCTATAAAAGGATGGCAATTTACTAAGAGATGTAGGTTCATACACTTTTCTCTTAATGTGGTTTTAAAATTAAGCTTAGCCCTGTAAAAACATTGATTATTAAAAATAACTAAAAATGTGGTCCCCATGTAGACAAAAATCATTACTGATGAAGGTGAAAGTATTGTGTAGGGCAGTGGTTCTCAACCTTCCTAATGCCTCGGCTCTTTACTATAGTTCCTGTGGGTTGCAGCCCACAGGTTGAGAACAGCTGGTTTAGGGTCTTAGCTATCTCACTTACTTAGCAGGCCTCCAACCATCCTCACCCAAAGTATACTAAAGATTTTTTTGGATACATTTACATATTTTCAAAGAATTTGATCCAAGATATCATGAAAGTGAGATGACAGCATTGCTCCCGAACTAAAGCTAAACTGTTTAGGAATGGGGAGCAAAACAAAGCTGGGGGCATCACCATACCAGATTTTAGGCCGTACTACAAGGCCATAGTGGTCAAGACAGCATGGTACGGGCACAAAAATTGAGACATAAGCATTTGGAATAGAAACCCAGGAAATGAAACTAATATCTTACAACCACCTAATCTTCAATAAACCAAACAAGAACATACCCTGGGGAAAAGACTCCCTATTCAATAAATGGGGCTGGAAAAACTGGACATCCACATGTAAAAGACTGAAACTGGACCCACACCTTTCTCTACTCACAAAAATTGATTCAAGATGGATAAAGGACTTAAATTTAAGGCATTAAACAATAAACATCCTCAAAGAATGCATAGGAAAAACACTAGAAAATATCAGCCTGGAGAAAGACCTCTGCTGTGGCAATTGCAATAAAAATAAACAAATGGGACTTAAACTGAAAAGCTTCTGTACAGCTAAGGAGACAACAACCAAAGCAAATAGACAACCTACACAATGGGAAAGGATATTTGCATATTTTCAATCCGACAGAAGCTTGGTAACTAGGATCTACAGAGAACTCAAATTAATCCACATGAAAAAAAGCCAACAATCCCATATATCAGTGGTCAAGAGACATGAATAGAACCTCCTCTAAAGAAGACAGATGAATGGCGAACAAACATATGAAAAAATGCTCATCATTCCTAATTATTAGAGAAATGCAAATCAAAACCACCCTAAGATACCACCTAACACCAGTGGGAATGGCCCACGTCACGAAATCTCTAAACTACAGATGCTAGCGTGGATGTGGAGAGAAAGGAACTTTTACATTGCTGGTGGGACTGTACAACTAAGACAACCTTTTTGGAAGGAAGTATGAGAACTCTCAAAGAACTCAAGCTAGACCTCCCATTTGATCCTGCAATCCAATTACTGGGCATCTACCCAGAAGGAAAAAAAATCTTTTTATCATAAGGACACTTGCACTAGACTATTGCAGCTCAATTTACAAATCACCAAAATGTGGAAATAGCCTAAAGGCCCACCAACCCAGGAATGGATTAACAAGCTGTGGTATATGTACACCATGGAATACTAACCCCCACTTTTTTTTTTCTTTGAGACGTCTCCCTGTTGTCCTGATAGAGTGCATGGGTCCATAGCTGACAGCACCTTCAAACTCTGGGGTTAGAGCAATCCCCTTGCCTCAGCCTCCCGAATAGCTAAGAATAGAGGTGCCCCGCCACGATGCATGGCTAGTTTTTCTATTTTTAGTTGGAGACTCTTGATCAGGCTGGTCTGCAACTCCCAAACTCAAGCAATCCACCCACCTTGGCCTCCTAGAGTGCTAGGATTCCCGGCATGAGCCTCCACGCCTGGCCTCTACTTACATACTTTCATGCATTACCAACCATGAAATTCTACTCCTGGAGCCGAGAGGAGAGGGCCAAAACAACCCCTTTTTAACAACAGGATTAATTCTAGGGCTACTCTGAAAACAGCTTCAGGATTATCAGATTAGAAAACACTATTTAGATACCCTAGTCCAATTAATTTATTTTTGGGGTATAATTGAAAAATACATATAAACTGTTGACAGAGTTGAACTTCATCAAAAATTAGAGAAAATTCTTATTTCATGGTACCTAGTAAGGCTGCATATGGCATGTAAATCATACTATCTTTTATTAAAACATTTAAGGCAAATAAAAAGATTGCTCATCTTTTTTGCTTTTGTCTAAATAGGATGAATTCCCACACATTGCCTTTCCATGTATTTTGCTAAACAATGTAGTTCTTAGAAATGAATAAATAATATGATCTTGCCATCAGATTCCTAGGATGGGAGTCCTTGGGGCTTCATTCTAACGTTTATACAGTATCAATCATAGTCATTGGTGGTTAAAATATTAATATTCTCCTTATGACACATAGCACTTTGAAAATCTTCACTACTGATAATGACTGTGAAGTCTCTGAGAGTTAATTACTGACCAGGTATTTGGAGTAAAGAGAAAGAAAAAGTGATTATTTTTGCTGTGCTCCTCTATTACCTGCTCAGAGACTTCCAACGACGGGGAGGACATAAATTTAACACCACCAAAATTAATGAGAATAGTTTTCGTTTGATGACCTGCCACTGAATGTGGAGAGAAAGGAACTGAATGACAGTTGCCAAACGGTTATATCTGTAGTATTTCAGAAATACCCATCAGAAGCAAGTCATTAGAAGGGTATTTACTGCTCACCCCACCAATGCTAGGAGCTTTCATTTGATTCCAGAAATGTTTGATTCCAGAAGACCTCATGTGTCTTCTTCTTCAAAAAGGACAAATATCTTCTATTAATTAATAAATAATCAGCCAAAATAATACTGAACAAAGCCTCCAGTCTTAGTGATGGTGGTATGTCTTCAACTATTCTTACAACTTTACAAAATCAAGATCAACTCCAATACCCACTGGAGGCTCTTAAAAATTAGCCTAGGTAGTGGGAGGGGAGAGGAGGAAGGGGGAATAGAGGGTGATTGGCAGGATCTCACCTAATGTGCACAGGGTGAGAGTGTTTAGCACACCCCAAGTGGAAGGCTAAACTTCAACTTGACCTTAGAAATGAAAACAATGTAATCTAAACATCTGTACCCTTATATCAGTCTGAAGTAAAAGTAAATAAATAAAATCAGAGGGCACAAGTTTAGTGTTTAAAAAAATGTTTTGTTTTTCAAATTAAATCTGAGAAGACTGACAGAGAAACTATAGTTTGGTGATCAAAGTCTGAAAGTTATGTGATCCAAAATGCAAATATTGTGTTGCCTGTTTTAGAAAGTCTGATCAATTACCACCAGCAGGGGTTCAAAGTGATCCTGTGGCAGGACCAGGAATCCTAGTCAATCAATACCCTCTCTAGCAGATGTGAACCCAGGCTGATGAGCACTGTGTGGAGTGATTAGCCATGATCTACTTTGTCTGCCTGTATTGAAAGCTAACAGCTCTGTAAAAGACCCAGAGCACACACTTGGAATTCCGTTGGTTCTTATGTTTGTATATATCTCCTAATATTTTTATCTGAATTGTCACATAAATGATTTGCCTTATTTAGTGTTGGTGATGCTTAATGACTGACCCCAACTGGTTCTATCTTATTTCTTTCCTGGTTCATACTCGGAGCATTGTATAACAGTAGGTATTGAACCCATTCACGTAAATAGCTGTACAACTAAAATGTTCATTTCTAGTCTGAAAACTTAGGAAAAAGATGCTTCGGATAACAATGACAGGATTACAATGGTTACAAGCACTCACACAAAATTTGCAATGCATTGGTAGAAGGAGCCAGTTGGAGTGGTGAAATAACGTGTCCACAAATACAAAATGTGTTAGCTGCAATCATTTTTTAAAATTCCCGCTGTAGTTCTATTTCTATTAGATAATAATGCCATTAGTCATTAGATAAAAAACAGCATAAGCTTTGGGGGATCATTAAGTCTAAAACCTCTTAGCTTTCCCTGTCTTCATTTCCTCGATGCTTGCAAAACTCTAGGATACAGCTAAAGCCTAAAACCAGATTTCCTACATTACTTGAGCATGCGTGAAGGAAATAAAAAAATACAGGACAGAAAACAAGGCTCGCATTTCTCTTCCTCCCACTTATATGTTACTAATAGCTTCATCAAGGGGCATTTTCTGACTTCCTTTAGTAATCACTTTGCCCTGAACTTGAAATCTCAACACACAGAGATGATCAATTCTCATGGTGATGGGTGTCCCTTGATCATTACACGTTCTGTGTAAGTACAAAATACTCACTTGTATCTCAATGGAAAAAGAGAGAGAGAGAGAACTGGAACCAGACCCAGAACCACTCAAGGTCACCGTGGGCAGGTGTGCCAGGTGGGTTGCGGGTGTATAACCAGCAGGGTGGTTCCACCGGCTTCCACAGGGACACTTACCTCCCTGCCCCTGAGCCTTAGGGAAAGACTGATGAATATACATTTGCTGTCTCATTAAATCTCTTTTTCTTTTCCTGACAGAAAGGAGATTGTGACTTCATTAAATGAATTGGGGCAAAGTATAGAAAGATTTCTCTATTTTAGAAGCAAGTATCCAGAAAGTATTTAGTACTAGATCAGATGGTACTCACGGGGGGGGGGGACCTTATAATTCATATCTTTTCTTTTCTTTTATTATTTAGTTAATTTATTTTTTACTACACTCTAATATCAAGAAACAAAAGCTGCCTATAGCAAAATTCAATTGCAAGCTGACGTGCAAGGATGTTTATAAATGCAGACAACCAGTTCTATTAGTGAGAACTGGTAGGAGAGAGTAGGTCAGGCTAGAAATACTCATTATGTAATAGGGGAAAAGTGAGAAATAATAAAGGTAAGAGAAAATGAATTGGAGGGTGTAAAAAGAAAAGAGTGAAAAAAATTAATATCTGAGGTCAGAGGTCAAAACAAAAAGGCAGATAGAGCTGGATAGAAAAATTCAGCTTAGGTCATTTTTGAGGACTGTTCTATCTCCTTCCCTGAGTCTTTCCTAGGGAG